GGTTCTTTCCATTCCATAGGTATCCTTTTAGTCCTGAGACTGGAAAATTTTAGTATCACTGGGATCTTTGGGCTTAATATGAAAACAAAATCAAAGAACCTGTGAAACACAGGAGTTGAAACTAGACTTATCCAGTAGTCACTCCTGATGGTAAACTAGAGGCCCTTCTTTTGAAAGGGACCTGACTGTCATTTCAGAACCACTGCAGTACTGCCCAGTAGGAAGGCCTGGAAGGTGTGAGAGACTCTTCTAATCTGCATGTCTTCACCAACATGGAGAACTGGAAATTAGAAAGAGATAAAAGAGGACACTTGTCCTCACAGCACAGACTGATGAGGTGGACCTTCTGTAGTGCTGAAGGCGGTTTAAGTCTTGGTAGAGCATGCACATGGGAAGACTTGGTTTGAATCTCAACTGTGCCAAGTCTTTTATGGAAATGCTGTGTATTAAATAGGAATGTCTTGTCAGGCATCTTTTGCCAACAGCAAACAGCACAACTGTTAATTTTTACCTTTGTGCTAATGCTGAGAGCCTTTGAAATCCTAAATTATTATAAGATATGTATTAAAGATAGAGGCCTTACATCCTTCCTTGTATAATTTCGTCATTTAACCACATTACTTTGGTCAAATAAACTTAACAGACAGAAAGGTTATTTTTGGCTCCATAAATATTGGCAGTTTTTCTTGGCCTGTACTGGGGAGATGAGCCACCAACTTAGGGACACTTTCTTAGCTGGCTGCAGCAGAGCAGTGGCCACTTCAACCAACAGCTCTCAGTAGAGATGCATCAGTTTCTGAACAGAAGGTATTCCCAGGAAGCAATGTCACCTTATCTGAGCCATTACTGATTTCCTTCTACCCATATATTTAAATTAGCTTCTCTTAATCTCTGCTACTTTGACCCAGAGAGTAAGGAGCTTCTGGCAGGAGATGTGGAATTTGCTGTCACAATGGCCATTCTGAAAGAGCTCTGTGTTGTTAAAACTTATTTCCAGAGAACGTAGGTCTCTCTGCAGAGATGACAGAAACTGCACTTCTCAAATGCTGTGTTTCCAGTCTTGGTCTTGGTCTTGGGGGATTCTTAATTAAGAGTTTGATTTCATAGAAGAGGTTTTTTAGAAGTTCATGAGGCTTCCCTATGTCCCTCTGCAATCTCAATATTTATATACCAACTATTGTGTCCATAATTGATCCCACTTTGCCTTTTTTTGCCTTTCTATTGAAATAATGTTTTTTTAATCCATCACTATTTATACCTTATTAGAAGACAGAAGAAAGAATAGTTCTTTTGTATTCAGTAAAGCATTTAAACATTCTGTGTATTTATGCAACAGAAAGGAAACACTGATAGAGACAGTCTTTTATGAGAATATGTAAGAGCTCTCTGGGGGTGCCAGTGTACCAACAAAACACATGTAAAGCAATTTCACGTCGTGATGCAAAGCCCAACGAAGTTAATGGAATTCTTTCCCCTTACTCCAGTGGACTCTGGATTGAACCTACACATGATGAGAATGAGTCATTGGAGGAGACTGTTCCACAAACCAGCACAACTGCAGGGAGCTGTGACCAGAAATTAATTAGGGAGCCAACTTAAATGTATGTCTCCACAAAGATCTGAAATAATTAACATGTGGCAATTAGATGGAAGAAAGCCAAATCACGTGGTGCAGCTTTGTAAGGATGAATTTACCTGGCGTATGTTGCCAGATAGCTGATTTAAGGAAATTTCTGAGTAGTTACTTGCTAATCAACACACAAATCAGTGTAATTCAGTGAGTTTTTTGCTGCAGTGGACAAGGTTTTTCCTGTGATCGCCATATGGGGTTGAGGCAGCCAAGAATTTGGACTGTTTCACAGACTTTACTTCAGGCAGACTAAATTTGATCAATTATGTAAAAACTTTTACATTGTGCTTCTTACAAGCCTGGGCAGTGCTGAAGGCCAGCAGTCAGCTGCTGGGAAGCACTTGTGTTGAATCAGGACTGGGTGGTAACTCCATTTTATCTGTTTATTTGATTCAACCCTCTGTTATTTTATATACCAACAGTCTGACTGGAATAGGTTAAAGGCTTTAATTTAGCAAGGTTATTATGATGCACTTATGCTCATAGAGATATGCCTAAAAAGCTAAAAATAACCATTTTGAAAAATCTGTACTCATCATGTGTATCTTTTTTATTAGAAAGCATGTGTCAGAAATATCATAAAAGTTCTGTTTTATTAACTGAGGAAAAGTATTTACACTTTGGTATGCTTTTCTTTTTTCTTTTTTTAGGGAACAAAACAGATGCTTTAAAACCTGGAATAAAAACGGAGACTTCCGATCACCTCTATGCCATGAAACATACTTCAAACACTACTAAAAATTGCTCTCTATTAAAACAGTATACGGCTTCCTCCCCTTTCAAGGTGGATAGTTTACATCCTTATTCATCTTTAGCACATAAGCCTGGCCTAACAGCAGTGACTAATATTCAACAAGATTTTTCAGTTCCCTACGGGTATTTTGAATGCAGTAGCAAGCAACCTCACGTGACACCTTATGTTAATTGTAAGAACTTTGATGTGTCGGTCAAAGATTATACTGGAATTTTGCTGAATGATAAGATGAATGGTGTGCCACCGATTCTTCCAAAGGTCACTGCTCCAGGCCCTCCAGCCCATAAAGACCCCCTGCCCGCTATACTTGAACATCAGCCAGACGAACAGAATTGTCAGCTTCATTTAGACAGTTCTCCTTCTTCACAGATGGTCAGCTCTTGTGATTTGTCAGTACCGCTAAGCTCTCCAGCAAAGAATGCAGTCAGAAACGAAGCTGACTGTTCCCGTGGATGCCCAGTGGAAAAGGGCAGCGCCCATCAGGAACAGATGTGTGATTTTAACTGTGTGGACGAAAAGCAGAACAGTGCACTGGGACAACTGGCTGATTCTGAGGAAAAAGTGGAGGAAATGTGGTCAGACAGCGAGCACAATTTTTTGGATGATGACATTGGTGGGGTTGCTGTGGCACCTTCTCATGGTTCTATCCTAATTGAATGTGCAAGACGTGAGCTACATGCTACAACACCTATTAAAAAACCCAACCGCAATCATCCCACAAGAATTTCGTTAGTTTTCTACCAACACAAAAATTTAAATGAGCCAAAACATGGTTTAGCCATGTGGGAAGCAAAGATGGCTGAGAGGGCAAAAGAAAAAGAAAAAGAAGCGGAAAGATTAGGAACGGAGAATACCGAACTGAATTCTAGCAGCAGGAAAATAAAGCAAACAAGTGAAAACAGAGATCTTTTTTATGAAGACAATGAGTTCAACCAAATTCCATCACGCAGAGCATTAACAGTAACTAAGGATAACATAATAACAGTATCTTCATATGCCCTTACACGAGTTGCAGGGCCTTACAACCATTGGGCATAGGTTTTAGTCTCAAATGCCCCCTCTTGGTGCAGTGTTACACGGTGTTTCTTTAAGGTGCTGTTAAAGAACAAGCTTCGTGCCGTTTACTATTTGCTCATCTCAACCATTTTAAGGCTGAGGTAAAAAAAAGAAGGAGGGTATTTCTTCTTAAACTGTGACTAATATTTGGTGGTGCTCAAGCACATTTTAAGCAAAAAAAAAAAAGTTAAAAAAAATTGTATAGTTTTAATACACTCTAAAAAAGATTTTGTTTAGGTTGTTAACCTTGATTGAATCGTTCAGTTTATTACCTTTAGGAATTTATATTTTGGTGCTTTAAATCAAGTCAGTTTACTGCAAAAATCATTTATAGGGATTTTAACAGGTTCACATTTTATGGTGTTAAATCAAGTTATACAGTAATAGCTCTACACAGCTCTTGGTGCTTAACCACATAAAACAGTTAAACATAAATAAGCTGAATTATTACTTCATGGTGCCATTGCTTTAACAACTTCCACCCATTGCTTTATAGTCCAAATTACAGATAAATCTTTTAGAAAACCAATGATTTTTTTCTCTGGATTTGTCATTATGTATGAAATGAAGTTATTGGTAATGATGGCTGGAAGTTGTTTTTAAGCTGTAAATATATATTTTAAAAGCACTTTCTATTTTTAAAATTAACTTGAAATAGTATAGTATAAGGATCATATTGTCTAAGGTTTGTGCATACTCTACAGAAGAAATAATTTTATTCTTGCTGTGTAGAGTTCCATATTGTTACAGTTGCAGTATGTATGCTAATAGCATATGTGATTGTTTTTAGACTTGCCCTTTTTCATGGAAGTTTTTATGTTTCATATCAACAGTTACAACATACAGAACCATTCTTTTCAAGAGAGTGTACAAACATGAAATTAGGAAATGTCTTGTCAGTATGTGTGTTGCTATTGGGAGCTATGAATATTATTTGGGTTTTTAAAGGCAGTGTTTGTTATGATTTCTTTGAGCAATAAGTGCGTAAGTCTCATTCGTTTGGAGCATTATAAGTTAACATGACAACCAAATGTTCCTAATGCCTCAGGGGTAGGATTGTTTTGGGATAAAAAGAAATATACCCCCTAGAGTTGCCTTATTCTATTCTGGGAAAAAATAATTTGGGGAAAATGCAAAGGAAATTTTGGAAAAGTATGAAATTTATAACAGCAGCAAATTTTTCATTAAGAATAACCTATCTGTAATATTCACCAGCTTTCTGTGTTCATTTTTTTTACAAAAATGTTCTGTAAATTTTTTAAGTGATTTCTACATTTCATGTAGAAAGGGTTGTCTTCTTCCTTCCAAACATATGGAATTTATGTTCTCAATTTCTGCTGAAAAAGTGACATATCATGAAATGAGTCTTTGCTAAACTAGAGGAAAAACAGACACTCCATTGCTTTTAAATACTGTAGCATCCCGCTCTTCTTTCTGATTCTCCTCTCCTATGTATTTCTTTTTCAAACTTATTTAAACAAATTACCAAATGGCAATGTTAGCTAAGGACCAACCTCATCCTACAACTTCTTCCATGAGAACAGCTCTGCATAGCCATACCTGCCCCATCAGAGCCAGGAGGACTGCTCAAGCCAGGACTCCTCTCGTGACTGAGAGCTGCAGGATCAGGCCCAGAGATGAAGCTGTACCTTAATTCTGCCTTGGAGTCCTCCCTGGCTGGGTAGCCTGTAGGTGTAATGAGATCAGAAGTTTTCCAGTGCGAAAATATAGTAATAATATACTTGATAGTATTACAATGTAGTGGTGCTGTAACTGAGGAATATGAACTATCTAGATCTGCTTTATTTAAAACCTAGACAAGGTGCTTTTTCCTTGAAAGCTGAACTGTAAGCACTGTGTTTACAGTTTTGGTACGAAAAGTACGTACATTGTATTTTTAACACACAGTGCCAGTTAGGACTTTGGTGCTACAAATACTTAAATGTGGCTGTTGATGAATGAGACTGTTCTCCTGTATAGACATAGACACACGTATTGTGTTGGCAGGAGCAAGGTCTGAAGTAGCAATCACTATGTAATGACCTTGGGTTCAGTTCTACAGATGCCTGTCAAAATTAACAAAAATGCTGGTGTCAGAGGGTGGACGAGTTGAACCCATTCTTTGTATCTTACCTATTTTAAGTAAAATTTGTAAAAACTGGGTATGCTGCAAATTTCAGTTCAAAGCTTAATATGACTTCAAATAGAGGATATGAAGGGATTGTAAATAATAATAAAACAAAACCAATGTTATGCCATCGTTTTGTACCAGCAGTTTTATGCTTATTGACTATGTAATATACAGTATACATCAAATCATTATGGTATTTTGTGTGCCTTAGATTTCCATTTTAAAACTTGTATATTTTTGGTGAGCCGAAGATTAGTACGAATTCCAGCTGTCCATACAGTAGTACTGTACGTTCTCTAGCTGTTCCATTTTTGTACTTGCTATCTGAAAACCCTTGTTTGACACCACAAGCAATCACTTACAGAAAAGATGAGTTTATTGGTTTCACTGGTAGCGCTGATAGCATTAGTTTCTATGTTGCAAATTGAAAAAAAACAGAAGTTATTCAGTGCTCTCATGAATAACATTTTTTATACAACCGTGGTAAGTTACAGAGCCATCTTTTTTCCTTTTAAAATTCTCAGATCATTAAAGCAGATCATTTTGACTTAAATCTTCCACTATAAATGCCCATGCTTAATTTATGTATGACTGGAAACTTTGAGAGAGAAATTTTCCAGTGAAAACCCAGCAGCTTCCCTCAAAGAAGTGAGAAACTGAAAGGTAGATCTGAAAGGATACCACCAAACATAGCCCGTAACAAGTAGCTGCTCAAGTGACTGCACCAACAGACTTTCCATGAATCCATGTTCACCTGTTTTGAAATGGCAACTCTAACAGTGAACAATGTATCTTAACATCCTAGTTAATGCTGTTAACTGATAGGTGCTAAAACTTGCAGTTACTGCTTTATTAAGGTTACTTACATGAGAAAAATATATCATCTATACAATAAAATATAATTCGCGGTGCTCTTTCCTTGACTGTCTATCACATAACTACTTTTTCAGCATGTACCTAGCAGGCAGATTAGCTAGCCACTTTCCTGCTGTGGCACACAGCAGGTTTTGATTTGAGAGGCTATATTTTCTACTGCTGTACTTCAGTATAGAAAATGCAACTATTTACTGTTTTGACAACTGTGTGCTATTTATTGTAACATTTCAGAGTATTTATCTTGTACACAAATTATTTTGAGTAGGGTTATAATTTTATAACAGCATTTGTCTCTTAAAATGTGTGAATCTGTGGGTTTAATGCTTTCCTTTTCAGGCCACACAACCACTTGCAATTTGCTCTTTAACAAAGTCCTTCCAGGATGGCCAGATCAGGAGGTGGATCTAAAATTGAGGTAGCTGGCTAGGTCAGACGTGCGTATTTTACTTGGTTTCCAACAGCTGGCAGTATGCTCTGGGTGAAAAAACAGAAAATGGATTCATGTGTGGGCTGGTGGTGGGGTGTGGTTGTCTTTTAATCATTTTTCACAGTACGCTAGCAAAAACTGTTGTGATCCAATATGGGATGCCTCTGACTTCCTAGAAGAAATGTCTCTCATCCGTTTCTCCACTGGGTCCAGTAACAGCACTCCACCTTTGCTCTGGAAGGAAGTAGTGCTTTCTGCAGGAGCCGGTTCTGCTTGACTCCCGAGTCCCTGTTGGAGTGCCCATTTCGATAGTGAGTTTTACTCATGCAGTTTCTCTGTGCTTACTGCTTGTAACATGTTATTGTATTACAGAAAATAGAAAAAAAATCTATAAATATTTTAGTCACAAGCTCCAGAAGACATTTTAAGAACCTGGCTTTCTACCTGTAACAGCTGTATTCAGATTTATTTTTTTTAAGAACTATCTAAGCTAACTTTTACTTAGGAATAACTGCTGTTAAAAATCCTAACCTTACCTATGACAGTGCTTCTCTATACTTAGAACAGGAAATAACTGTAGAATTGTAACCAACATTTTAGGTTAAGCATGGGTAAATGACAACTTCCATAGTACTTAAGATTATTTGTAACATACAACTGTTTGGGTTTTTTTAAAAGACCTTTCTAATATCACTGCAGTATTACACTAAATTTGGTGGGTTAAACTTGGGTCCTGTTTATGTTGCTGCAGCCCCACCGACTGCAGTGTGCTCATTCATCAAGCTTTCGTGTGATTTTCATATTTAACTGGATGGATAACAGTTGACCAAAGTCTGTGCCAACTTGGACCCTTGCAACCCTACCACAATAAACAGGTTTTACAAAGTCAGATGGAGAAAGATTTGTAGTAAATGTTGTACTTCTGGTTAAGCACAGAGGTTATATTGTTTGTAGCATGAGAAATGATTCAAGGTCTGTAAAGAGACGTACTACCTTCACCTCAAGTTTCAGGCATGCAGGCAGGTCTGTTTTCATACCTTATGCTCTTGACAGCTTTTTTGGTTTTTCCCTATCTTATAGGTTGTTCAATGACAGATGTTATGGAAGCATTCTAGTAAAACTGCATCTCCATGGGTTTACCTTGAAAATGTAAGGTCAGTCTTGGCCTTCCACTTGCCATGAAATTTCTTGCATGTTAAAATTGGCTCCTTTTATCAAGCAACCATCAGTTTTGTAAACTATTTGTACATATATGAATTTGCTCTTTCCCGCAGAAATCCTGTAATTTCTAGGTTAACAGGAGGAAATATCTGTACCCTCATATATATGAAAAGCTATAAATTGCATGGCTACTTCCACATTTTTTCTACATTAGCAGCAATTACATTCAGGCAGTGCTGAACAAACTCTCAGGTCTACTGTGGTTGTTAAAATTCAGATTAGGGTCTTTGTGACTTACCTTCCATAAAACTATGTTTTACTTCTTGTGTGAAAGGTGTCTGCCCAACTGTGACCTCTGATCTGATCTTGAATAACACAACTGGAGATGAGGAGTAGTCCAATCACATTTGGAAATTCTGGCTTTTTTCTGTTTTACCAGTTGTTGATCTGACTTTCAGGAGAAAGCATACAGGGAATATCTTTCCATAAAATTAACTGTGGATAAAGTTGCCATTGATTGTTGTGACACCATGGTACTGCTCTGCCATGTCTGTGTTACAGCATTGTTTCTAACCAATAAGGATGTGGTGTTGTGTCACACAGCTGTGGATGTATGTACAAATTCATCTCTTCCCATAGTTCCTCTGGAGGCAGTGATCTCTCCTTTGTTCTCTGTCTGCCTAGACTGGTTTAAGGAGGAAAACAAAAAAAAAAAAACCCAACCAACCAAACAAAAAAACCCCACAACAAAACCAAACAACAACAACAAAACCCCCACAACAACCAAAAAACAAAGAGGACAAAGAGTTGGTCACCCTTTCTTTAATCTGTGTAGATGACCAACATAGCAAGCACTGCTGTCAACATGTCTGCTGCTCCTTCCCATGATACGGAAAGCTGATGGGATGCACAGCATGAGTAAGTCACAGGCAAAGCTGTGAAGGTACAATCGGCTTTTGAGACAGCCTTCTCTGTACACATGCTGTGGTTGCCAGGGTACTTCTTTATGTTGACACTTTTTTTGGCACATCTGACTTTAAATTCATAAGCTTTTTTATTTAGTCTGTGACACATTTATGTTCTTTAATCCTAAACAGTGGCCAGTGTCAAAAGTCCTGAGGATGTGGCTACTTAGTGGAATAGTACAGTAACTGGCTTCAGGATCTCCTGGAATTACCTGATGTTTAGTCAGAGAGTTTTCACAGGTTGTCTATATGCTGCTTCATTGTGTTGCTGCAAAATTATAATTGCATAAAGCAGTTTCATACTTGAGGTTTTCTCAAAGATCAAGGATTTCTAACAGTAGTATCTAACCCAGCACTAATAAACATACAGATCACTTCTGAAGAATGGTTGAAAAGATATTTCGTGTTTACCTTATTACTTCCCTATTAAAACATTTTCAGTTATTTTAGAGAGAGCAAAACTTTTTAATACTGTCATTTACATGCTTGACTAAATTACAAAAACTTAATTCTAACTAATGCTGTGTTGTCTCCCTGAAGAATATTTAATTTGACTAGTGCTGATTAGTAGATATTACTTTCTACTCTACAAATTACAGTGAATAGCACAACCACCTTTCTCACTCCATGGTCTGTTTATGGATCAGCTGCTATGTCTAGCTATTTTCACAGCCAGCACTAGATCACATTATAACCTACTGCTGAATGCTTTAAATGCTTGTAAACTGTTCCAGGAGTTCTTCCTGTCCCTCTGCAGATCTGCTTCAGTACTCAGCATTATCAGTATAGCTGTTGGCCTGCTTGTGAATTCCCCACACACACTGTCACCGCTTTGTATGTAAATCAGCCAGTCTCCATCTCAGGAATATTGTAAGGATTTATTCTCCTGTGTCTCTTCCGAAATAAGTTTCTTTCAGTCATCTTTTATTCTATATATGACAACTCTAGGGGTTGTTTTTTATTTCATGTTCTCTCATAGGAAGCCTAGAATATTGGAGTTGGATATTTTTTCATTCCAAGAAAGGGGGATAATTCATTATCTACCACAATCAGTGTTTTTTTAAATCAAAATAAATTTTTCAGTTAATTTTCATATTTCTTGATGCAACCGTTACACTCTGTTCTT